TCAGATTCAATGTCCGTTTTGTAAGTGTGCTTTTAGATTTAGTTTAGATAAATTAAAGTGACTTCAAGTGAAAAGGACCTATTACAACTATTCCTGAAAAACAGAGATAAAGAAAGTCTCAAACCTTGACACTATTAACAGTAAGTGTACTATTCTTGTGTAGGACTGGTACATTCTGTAAAATCTTATTAGCCTCCATGCCTTGACAGCCTGTATTTTATTGTCACATTTCTTCCTTCTAAAATATATTTTTATAAATGTTTTGTCATGAGATACTACTGTTTTTTCTTGCAATTCTAATATGCACTCAGTATTAACCAGAGATGAAATTATGTCCTATATAAATATGCACAAGGGTGAAACATACATAATTATACCCTTGGACACTTTTTTTTCTGCTTCAGGTAGTAACAGATACGTTGGCAATTTATTTTATATCTATCTTCTGGTTTTAATCCAGCTTATTTTGCCATTTATACAAAATAAGTTGAAAGAAATATCAAATTAATTAAACAAGTATTTATTGAGCTTTAAGCTTGGGACTGACCTGGAGGTCACCAAACCCTTCAGCATGCCTTGCAAAACTTGCAAAGCATACACCTATGTACCATATTGTCATTCATCACAAAAAGAGAGGGCATTAAGATCTCTTTCAGATAATCTACTGCTGTGCTAGTTTTTAAAAAATGAAATATACAAGAAGCAGTTGTTTGTTTCTTGTTCAAATGGTTCCCAAATGTTGAAATTTGGGCTATTATATTTTTGAAATACTTTGACTTCTCTCTGTCTTACTTTCTCCTGAGCATGAAGATCTCTTTCCTTCAGTGTCACGCCACTTGACTTAATTATTTTATCCAAATACTGTGTGCTTTCTAACACTCAACATTTATATCGCTTTTGGGAAGCATCCAAGTTCAGAAGACTCTGTTCTTTCTAAACAGCAGTGTAGCGTAGTGGGAATCTGAAATTCGAAGTAGTATAGTGGAAATCAGACCTATTTAATCTGGGACAGTTTAGATCTTTATTACATTACCTGACCCTCATTCCCCTTATCTTTAAAATGGTAATAATGGTTACATTAGGGTTGTTTTGTGTGATGACTGTGCACAGTGTTTTCAGTCCCCGTAGTACACAGTCCATACACGACATACAGTTAGTGTGTTATTTCCGGGGTGAGCAGCAGCTGAGCCTGCCCTTGCTTGGCACGGCGTTAGTGGCTGGCCGGCAGGGAAGGTGCGGGGGTGCTGCCTTTCCCTCCGAAACATCTCACTTCTTGCTATCATATGATATCATTTTAATATGCATTTTAGTCTTAATATTTTCAAAGCAGAATGAAGATATTAAAAAAGTCAGTTCATGCTATAGAGTTTTTAAGCTCACGACACCCATAGAGCATATGACTCACAACTTGACTACTTTGGATACCAACTCAAAGAGCAGCCTTAAGGAAAAGTTTGCCTTTTTAATATATGAGAAGTATCAACGGGTTCCGTTTGAGTGTGTGTGTATGTTATTGCATACACGCATCAGAAAACCTCAGTGGAGATTAGTAAGTGTGCTACTTTTTATCCGTGTATTGCTAGTATGTTTCTTTAGATGTGTTATTTTTCTACTTATTTACAGAATAACCTTGGCATTCTCCCTGGTAGTAGGAATACTACATGCATCACCTCTTTCGGTTCTAACATCAGCGTTGCACCGGGGCTCATCGAGGAGCAGGTGTTGAACATTGATATAAACAGAATTTTCTGTTTCTGTCTACCAGAGCCAAAATCCTCCCATTCCCAGTATCCCCTGGCCAACGGAATGCTAATGCCAAACTAACTTCCAAATTCAGGTCTCAGGGGTGACTTCATTATGATGACTGCCATAATCCTGGCCCGAGGCCGTTCTGGTTTTAAAAATTAAGGCAGAGTAAAATTTTTGTCAAATGGCTACCTAGTGATTTTAGGTGACACACTTCTAGTGTGCAGATTTCTCTGAAATTGGTACATTGAGATTACATTGCAGTTCGTTGCTTAATAACATTTCTTAGCAAAGCTGCCTAATTAGAACAGAACTGTTGCTCACCATAAAACCCCCAGTTGTTTATTATGGGGAAAAGCGTTCAGAAAACTTGAAGTTTTCAATAAAATCTAGGCATTTTAACATCCTAAGTGATTTGAGATAACTAATGAATAGAATCCTTTGACCAAACCATTTATAACAATAAGGCTTTATTTGAAAGGCGACTGACTTATTTAAAACAATTTATATTTAAAGGTTACATAATTTCAGAACTCATATGGCCTTTGTTTTTCTGGGGTGCGGTGGAGCATTGAAATTGGTGTCAGCAGTTTGATAAATTGAAATACCATTTTAGAGGCAGTAAAATTAAAAGGTAATGTTAAGAAGACTGTACTTGAACAGGTATTTTCTTATTAATTATATTAATTATTGGGAATGTTAAGCAATATTTATTACGAACAAGTGTTTCCTCTGTCATCATTTTTAGAGACTTGTATTTTTATAACCATGTATATACCAGGCTAACATCTTTTAGAGTACATTTTTTTATATCGATACAATCAATCTCTTCAAATTAGTATGAAGGGATTCTCATATTTCCTTAAATTTAGTCGACTGCCATAATATACATGATTTGTATAACTCCATCAGGTAGAGATAATGTGAAAAATGATGTCAGATCAATCAATTTTGAGCAAAGGTCTGTATTACAAGTCTATGGAGATGCAGGAACTTGGTTCGTTATTGTCAGTTGCTCTCCAGGGGTTTCCCTCTCGAATGTCATGGAATAGCAATCAGTACTTACAAGGAAACCATGTCTTAGGTGCTCAAGTTTGTGTATTTCTTTTCTGGTATTTTAAAATCAACATTATGAAAAACACAAAGATGCTGTATGCATTTTAATAAACCTCCTTGAAAACACCACTGTCCTGGGCTGACAAGGCGGTAAAGAAATCTGCAAGGGAACCAAAACTTAGGAAAGTACTGTGGCAAGTGATGAAATCAGAAACCTAAAACTTTGAGGATTAGTAGCAGGTGGCACAGGAAGCAAAGAGCTGAGGTTCAAAGAAGAAATAATAAAATTCTTATGGCATTGAAACATTGAATCAGCAGTTTGTAGTTCTTCCATAATAAGAATGTGAAGTATAAACAATTTTTAATTTAAGAAAAATTTCTGTCTTTCAAAAATTGTAATTATATTCAAGCTCTCTCAGAGAGCAGACCAAGAGATGGAACGCTGTTTCATCTTATGAGGTTTGTATAACTTCAGACCAAATTAGATAGAAACGATGCCTGAAGGAACATCACATACCAGCTTTACTTATAAAAAGAGACATGAAAATAGTAAATGAGATGTTGGCAATGCAAATTACATAATCGCTAAAAATCATAATGCATTCTACTGAGTAGAGTTAATCTGAGGAATGCGAGTCTGAGTGAATACGAAATAAACCAGTTAAAGTAATTCATCCCATTAAAGAAAAGGATACTGCGATTATCTAAATAAATGCATAGAAATTTCTGATCAAATCACTCATTAATAAAAAATAACACCTCTTTAAAATAAGAATGAGAGGAACATCTTTAACCTGATGTTTAGAATACAATGTGGATGTCCACTATCACACCTTATTAAATAACCTGAAACCTGGAGGACTCTCAGAAACCTAATACTGGATGACAAAACAGACCACACAAGAATTCGTAGATTAATTAAAATCACCGTGCCGTAAGTTGCTAAGAGAGCAGACCTCAAGTGTTTTCACTACAAAAAAGAAATGATAGCTATGTGGTGTGTTGGAGGTGTTCACTGACACTGTGCTGGTAATCATTTCGCAGCATGTAGTGTGTCAAGTCAACATGTTGTACACCTTGAAGTTACACGATGTTACATGTCAAATATGTCAATAAAGCTGGGGAAAAAAAAAAAAATATATATATATATATATATATATGGTGTAAGCCCTGACAGTGGCTTTTCTTTTTGTAACCCAAGTGCCTGATTTAACCTTTGATTGCTGAGGGATCCACTTCAAAGAGGCACCTGCTCTAAAGAAGGCAATCTCGAATAAACTCATTGCCAGCCACACACTAGACAAAGAGCCAGGCAGCCTCCCCTGCTGGGGCTCCTTCATTTAAAAAAATCTTGGTTAAGTTGGATAACTGACCATTTAGGCTACTGGTTTGTTCTCTTCCTGTGCTTTAAATCCCTGCTAAGTTTTTAATTCAACAATAAAGAGTGAGCCAGTAAAACATTAGGTGCCCACCCTCAACTCCAGAACACCAGGCCTGTTCATGAGCTCGTCCTCTCTCTCTCTCTCTCTCTCTCTCTCTCTCTTTCTTTCTCTCTCTCCCTCCCTCCCTCCCTTGCCCCACATCACTATGGGTTATGGAACAGGTATAGGAATAAATAAATTTATAGGCTTAAGCATGCACACACAAAAATGAATTTCATATTGGTTTGACAGTCTGTGGTTGGTTTTATCATGATAAACTAATTTTATTGTATATCATTGTGGTCATAGTATCATGTCATTTGGCGTGTAACGTATCAAAAAGAGTTCTGTCTCTTTCATTTTAAATAGCAAAGCTTTGTATTAGTCACATAGCTGTATATGAAATCATAGCAACTGTAATACTGTCTCAACCAGAATTACTCCTTGTTTTGGAAATGAGTTTTAAATGGATGGTGTTGATGTCCACAGAAGGATCAGAACTAATAAAAGAACTAGTTGACATTAATCATTCTCTTCTCTGCAGTCCCACAGTGCTTTATTAGTTCTTAAGAACTTAATTCATTCTGTTTTGATTTAGTGCAATTTTTGTGCAGGCTCATCGCCTCTACCCAACCGGGAGTTTCTTGTGTAGTGTCCGGTCTCATTCATCTTTCGTGTCCCACAGCTATTAATAATTGTTCATATATGGAACAATCACAACTAAAAAAAATAAAGATTTTCTCTTTTTTTAGAATGTGCTTCTTGAATTTCTTTCAGAAATTTGATACAACTGTACAGAAGTGAAGATGACACAGAAATTTCCAAGGCGATTAAGACTCAATGGACTTCTTTGGGCCTCGAAGATGTACAGTTTGTAAATTACTCTGTGCTGCTTAATCTGCCAGGCCCTTCTCCCAGCTCTGTGACTCTGAGCAGCAGTGGCCAATGCTTTCATCCTAATGGCCAGCCGTGCAGTGAAGACGCCAGGACACACAGCAGCCAAGATCTGCTCTACTCATACGCAGCCTATTCTGCCAAAGGAACTCTCGAGGTAATATGACCATTTGTCTCTGTCATTTACGGTGAAATAGAATTAGAAAACAACAGCTTTCATCTAAATTGAACTAACTGGCAAGATGCAACATACCAAAGTAACCATTAAATGTTCTCAGTGTGGAGGTGCCAGGAAAGGAAAAGGAAGATCTGGATTGTCCGACCCTTTCCTTGTCATGTTTTGGAAGTAAAAACACGTTAGAAGAATTTAATTCAAAAGTGTTGAACATGTGACTGAGTCATTCACATTTTGCTGAATACATATAGTTCATGTTCATTTCATTCTTTGTTTTTGAAAGGCAAATTTTAATAGATTGATTAGGACAGACGCAATGGAAATGGAGACAGTTGGGTTTTGAAACCGTCGGCACACAAGAACCACAGTGGGAAACTGATGTGATCATTTACACATTTAAGACTGGAAATATTTGAAACCTAGTACTTCTACTTTCTTGAATGGAAAACACCTGAGCTAGGGGGCCAGCTGTGGATTATTGCTTTGCTATTTTGTGCGTTAGCTGGGTTTTTTTGTTTGGGGGTTTTGTTTGTTTTTGCTGGTGTGTGTTTTTGGCATTGTGGTTAAGTGCATGGCTTCTAGAGCCACATGGACGAATTTCTCTCTCAGCTCCCCAGTTACCTGCTGTTACTTATTCATGTAAGGCTGTCTCCTCATATCTGTGATGTGCACAATCATACAGTGGCACCTCGGTTTTCGAATGTACTTTGTTCTGGAAGCCCGTTCGAGCTCTGACATGTTCGAAAACCGAGGGATCCACAGCCCGCAGCTGGGCCTCAGGGTCTTGCCCTCAGCGGATGCTGCAGGGCCTGTTCCACTTCCGAGGTGTGTTCGAAAACTGAAGCATTTACTGTCAAGTTTACGGCGTTTGTAAACCAGAATGTTCATCAAAGGAGACTTTTGAAAACTGAACTATTTCCAACATCATAATTGTTGTGAGAATCAAATTGACTAATATAAGTGAATCTTGGAGGACAGAACCTAAGCCGTAGTAAAGACAATATGCCAATTAGACACAAGTAGTGTTAAAGGATAAAACAAACACCTCCATATGGAGAACACAATTTGAGAACTTAACCAGGCAAATTAGATGAAGACACTGACAATAACTTTTTAGAATTATACTAATAACTTAAATCTACTATGGTAAATACATATTAATTTCAATATCTACTCAATAAAGGATACACTAAGTTATTTATATGGATTTTTAAGCTCTATTTGTATTATGATTTTCAAAAGCAAAGCAATTTATAGGTGACTATTTTATATGCACATAGAATACTTGCATATTTCATGTACATGTTTTAGACAGGTGTATTATTGATACCCACATTTCTAATTAATACAACACTGGTGATTTTTCTGTATGCCTTCAGATCATTTCCTAATTCAAATCAAGCTTGAGAGGTTGCTGCTGCTGATTCAGGCATACCTAATTTTTTATTTTGAGTACATTGTGTTTGCATGAATTTCTATCAGGCAGAGCCATTAACAACTTCCTAAATTATTCTAGTTTGACTGCCAGCAAAGCTCCCCACTACTTTGCTTTTGACAAGGTTATTTGTAGAAGAGGAGTGCCCCTTTTCTTTGAAGAGCTGTCATGTCCATTCATCATATGACTGTTTTGTATAAGCTTCCAATTTTTGCTTTTTGGTAACAGTCTAAACAGCATTTGTGATATCTGAGATCTACTTCGAAAACCTGCTTAGTGCCAGCATGATGGATGGTGTACTTTGCAGCTTCTTTGTAATTCATCGAGCACTGGAAAGGTGACATTGTTTACCCCATCATAATGACAGGTGGGTCAGTAAGAGGTTCCTAAGGAGAGTTGTCCTGTCAGATGCAAAATACATATTAAAATGGATACATAAATAATTTAGCATGAGTGAGGTTAGCTTCCAAGAATAAACAGTAATTTATATTTTTATTAAAAGGTAAATATCAACTATAGTATCAGCATAATGTTAAAGACATTGGTAGTGAGTGTTGACAACGTCTAGTCAGTTGTACAAATAGAATGAATGACTTTATGTGATTCCTGTGCAATTATTTCTTTTGTCCTTTGTGAAACCCACACAGATGCAGAAAGGAAAAGGAACAATTAATATTTAATATGAGTTGGTCAGATTGGGTCAGCCATGTTCTTAGTTTTGAACAGGGGATTTGTTTTTAGTCCAATATATTTTATGGATGTCAGAGTTTTCATTAAGCATTATTTTGTGTCTGACAGATAAGCCAAATCATGCAATTTTCTGTAGAAAAAAATTTTTTTTTAATATATCTTTATTGATTTCAGAGAGAGGAAAGGAGAGGGAGAGAGAGATAGAAACATCAATGATGAGAGAGTCATTGATTGAGCCCGCAACCCGGGTGTGTGCCCTGACCGGGACTCGAACCCTGATTGCCTGGATCCTAGGTCGATGCTCCACTGCTGAGCCATGCCCAGCCGGGCAAATTTTCTGTAGAAATTTATTTTCACCAACCCATTAATTGTGCTTAAATATTTTTATCAAGACATTTATCATTACCTCATTCCTTAGAGAACCCAGAAGCCAGCACCTTCCTGATTAGGTTAGTGACTATAGGTTGGCCACTTCAGTCCTGGAAGCCTTAATGTTTGTATTTGCATAAGGGGAAGAATAATATCTCAAGTGGTTGTTGTGGGCAAGAAGTGGTATAAACCATGTAAAGTGCCTGGCGCTTGGAAAGCACTCTATAAATGTTAGCTATTGTTATTATTATTATGTGGCATAAAGTAGATATATTCGAGTGGGATAAATTAGGAAAATATCAGAACTATCTATCATAAAACTTGGAAGTACAAACTTTTACTGTATTGTCTGAATATAATCTTCTTGTATTCTGTTTAACATGACAAATATTAATCACCAGGGAGGAAAATGCCTTGATAAGCATGAAGAAATAATGAACTATATATAAATCTCTGATCATAGTTTAATTGAAAACTGAAAACTCAATGAAACTAGGAATGAACTATTTTATTTTTAAATGCAGAATTACAGATTCTGTCAAGTTGGGCCTGAAGAGCGTTCTTATCTTTGTTTTGTAAAATACCAGGATATATGAAATCTGAATACTATCAAATAATTTGTTAAAATGTCTTAAAGAGTAAAAATATAACCACTTCATGGAATCTTTGAATAATTTCTAGTCAGATGTCTATTTTCTCATGGCTAGGAAAAATATATCTTCTTGTTTTATTTTAAATATTCTCAAACAAAAACAAACTTGAAGGTAAAGCTACATGCATTTGCCTCTGAAGAGTTCCTGTTATAGATAAAAATATCAGAAAGCTAAAGGAGTGCAATGGGATTGTATTATTGTCTGAGTATGAAGATTAAGCTACTGTCTCACCAACAGAGAAATGTAAACTTGGAGCTGTGTTCAGTGCTGAAAATGACTTAGCGTTTTATTCAACTCCTTATTTTTCTCTTGGAATCCATCTTTTGATCAACAATGAACAGTTGTGAGATAAATGGCTGTGAATACAATTGTATAAAGTTGTCATTATTTTTTTAATTACATATAATCCCTTTGCCCAAATCCCATCCATTTCTGATATTATGAGCTTTGTGCACTGAGTTAACCAAACAATTCCACAATTTCTGCTAATTGGAGGGTAATAATTATGGGACTAGTTTCTACATATTTAAGGTATATATATTAAAGTATATATTTTTCCAGTATTTAAAATTTAGACAGAAGCATTTACAAATAAAGAAGTGATCTGTTACAAGATATTGTCCCTAGTTAAATATTTGTTAGAAAGGCTACATCTTCTACCTGGGATAGAGAACAAAAGCATATAAAATATAAGTTTTAAAACAAAAATAGTTGAATTAAAACATACGGATATTTTAGTGAGAAAGTATTTGACTATAGACTTCTAATTTAACTAAAGTTATGTGTAAAGTTTCTGAATCTCCACAATTAAGTGTCATTTGACAGAAAATTCTAGGTGAGCCTTTTTATTTTTACTTTTGATATGATGAGGTATACCACTTATAAAGTGGTAATGTAACTTTCTTAGAAGATTTAATTTATATTTTAATTTCCATGAAATGCCAGCACTTTAAGTATGTAGTTTACATGTCAGATTTACCTCACTTTAGAACTAGAGGGATCTGTGTAAAAGTTGATCCTTAAGTTTATGCACTATTTTGGCACACTAATCTAATTGATTTTAAAAGGCAGAATTATGCCATATTACTTTCATTGACTCTAGGAAGAATTCCCTTGAATGAATTAGAAACTCTTTCAATATCCTTGCCTTAATAAGTTGAATGTCATTTATTAAATAAAGTGCCCTGTGATTATTAATGTTTCTCCATATATTTTAATTTGATATTGAAAGATTCACTGACTAATATGGAACTTAGCCAGCTGGGTCTCACTAATATAACAAGAATCATTCAACATTCAGTGAATACATACTAAGTGCCATTTATATGCCAATCACAGGGGACAAAGTCATTAATAAAAAAGCTTTGGACACTGCCTGTATGTAGCTGGAAGTCTAACAGGGGAAACTGGCAGTTAGGTAAACAATTACAAAACTGCATTACTCAGTGCTGCTAGCTCGGATATGAGCAAGATACTTAAATATCCTAAACTTCAGTTTCCTCATCTGCAAAAATGGACAGATATGTCCACCAAATATGAATGTTCTGAAGATAGACTGAAATGATTGATACAATCTCCATAGTAAAATGTGTAGCACAGAGGACATGAAAGGTTAAGTATTGATATTCTTTTTCCTTTATATTGTGTGATAAGTCCTGTCCAAGTTAATCCTCATAATAAACATTTGCACATGTACATGCACATGGACACACACACACACACAAAGGCTCTAACCCGCCCGCCTTTGGAGTAGAGGACAACTCTCCAACCAAGCCAACTGGCCAGGGCTACCTCTTCTTGCTGTTAACCACATAAATAGTGTGTTGTCCCATGAC